CTGCCCCGGTCTCCCAGCCGCGCCGTTGGACGGTGATTAGAGAGCTGGACGGTACTATACGCGTTCGCCCGGTGACGGCTACCGTGTCATCCCACCGCCGCGCCCACCTCAGCGGGTTCCGTGCATTGGGGGCATCGCCACACTGCGGGGTGGACATTGCAGCGCTGCCGTCAACTCACCGTATCTGCCCGGCCGGCGGCCTGGGGCATCGCCCCAGCGAGAACGAGGATGTGTATAGTTTGCGGGGCGATGCGGGGCGGGACAGGATTCCGAGGGGGGTCCTTTTTGGATTTGGAACTGACCTGACTGCATGTTCATGATGATGACTGTTTTATGTTGTATGTGTTGTATGTGTAAATAAAGCCCATATGAAAAAACTCACCGTATCTCGCCGCCAGCTCACCATATCTCGCCGACAGCTCACACTCCCCGCTGTCATTCCCGCGCCGTCATCTCGCTATTCCCATGCCGTCACCGCACCATTCCCCGCGCCGTCATCTCGCTATTCCCATGCCGTCATCGCACCATTCCCCTGCCGCCATCGTCCTTATTGCCCTCATCGTCGATGCCATCTCTCCGCCCTCATCATTGGCGTCATTGGCGACCACTGGCGATGCGAGGAGACGTTCATCCCATACTGTACAGGGGTCACTATACGCTTCGACGTCCTTCTGGCTGTTCCCTCGACCGGCGGCCGCGGCGCTGGACAGGGAGCCGGACTGTGGGACCCCGGTGACCCCCTGCGTCAGCCGGTGATCGCCCGCCTTCCCGGCGGCCTCGCAGTCTGCCCGGGCACTTGGCGGAATGAGAATGGCGGGTTTGATCGTCCGAATTAGTCCTTTACTGGTCCGCTGGCCGGGAGCCCGCCCCCGGCCATTGCTCGAATAGTCGGCCACTGCATTTCGTTTCTGCGTCATCAGCTTTGATGGCCTTTCGAGCCGAGTGAGATTCTGTGGAGAGTCGGCCGCGCTCATGGAGCGGAAGCTACGTGGGATCTTCCTTTTATGCTATTTGATGGACTTCGATAGAATAATTTTGGTGCAATATTCCGCACCAAACGTCGCTGATGCGCCGGATAATATTTGACTTTATTTTTAAGGCGCCTGCTGCATAGGCCTGATAAATGCATTTCGCGACGCAGTAAACTTTTTATTGCAACACCACCTCATTCGAAGTTCTGCCGAGATATCGCCAGGCTGTTACAGAACGTCTGTGTAAATAACATTAAGTAGCCTTATCTTCCAGCTGCAGGTGCCGACTTGTCTGCTTTGTTGGAAAATATATTCGGAAAATGCGTATAAAAATGCGTCCCGATGCCGTAAAACGGCCATGCAGAATGCATGTTTTATTCTGGGAATTTCCGTTACTTCTGTCCGTTACTAGCAAGGATATTTTTTTTTTGCAGGACGCTTCCACGCTATGTTGTCTTTGTGACCCGCATGATATGTTAAGTGCTGCCTCCTATCAGTAGGTTCATCCAGTTCCTGGTCGCTTTAATCTTCAATCATAAACAGTCAAATGAACACGACTTAATTAATGCCACCTAGCTCCTGACTTTACAATACCGCCAGCACTTGAAAATGACACATTTTGCCTGCGTCTCAATGCCCGCCTGGTTCTGTTTGCACCAGACTCGCCTCCATATGTTTTCGTCAAATTATGTCCCTGCCCCGTGGACGCCGGCGGACGCGAGACCCAATCATACAGCTGTGTGGCGTCTATTTCCCCGAGGGCGGACCGTCCCCGACGGCCGACCTCTGCTGGGGCGGTGATGGGACGGGGCCGACCGCACTGATGGGCTGTGTCCGTCCCATCAGTCCCCTCTGCTCCGCCGGAGAGGGAGCGTGCTCCGCCGGAGAGGGAGCGGCGGCCCGTCCCCGCTGCACAGTGATGCAAATGGGGTTCACGAGTGGCCATAAATACCCCAAGAGTCAAGTTTACCAAATTGAGTTAATTGCGATATGGCCGAGTAGACAAATGTTTGGGGCATCTGAAATCACATGGTTTTCATGTTTTTGTCAAAACCTGCCTCGTGTATAATCGTCAGAAGTTGTGACATTTTCTAGGTCGTAAAATGACGGTCAGACACTCGCAAGTTCAAACGCCGCTGGTTTGCGTTCATTTCGTACAAATTGAAAAAATTATGCATGAGAATGATCCCCAAAGCCTTCTGCTTCTAATGCCAGGTCACAAAAAAGCCGTATCTCATTCGCTTTGGCGGTAATCTGACTATTTATCATCATGTTGCAATCGCAGTTTTTTACTAAGAAAAAAATGCTTTCGTTTCACCTACAGCACTTAACACAGTGTGTGCCCGTTAGTCCACCATAACATAGCATTCCCTAATCATTTCTGAGTCGCATCGTGAAAGAATTAAGGCGCTAGCACAGGGCTGACCGGCGCTACAGAGGTTTTTGTCCGGGCGGTCGGGTGCCGCAGTGGGCGCGCAGTGGGCGAGTGGGTGCCGCCGCGCGGCGTCCGGGCGGCGCGGCGGCGCGGCCGCCCGGGCCGCCCGCTGCGCCGCGGCACCCGACTGTGCCGGACGAAAACTTCTGTAGCGCCGGTCAGCCCTGTGCTAGTGCCTTAATTCTTTCACAATGCGACTCAGAAATGATTAGGGAATGCTATGATATGCTGCACTAACGGGCACACACTGTGTGAAGTGCTGTAGGTGAATTGAAAGCAAATATTTTTTTTGTAAAAAACTGTGGTTGCAACATGATTACAAATAGTTAGCTCACCGTCAAACCAAAATAGATACGGCTTTTTATGACGTGGCATTAGAAGCAGCAGGTTTCGGGGATCATTTTCATGTATAATTTTTGCAGTTTGTATGACATGCACGCACGCTAGCGGCACTTGAATTTCAAGTACCTGACAGTCATTTTTACGACATCGAAAATGTCTCGACTTCTGACAATCCTACACGAGGCCGGTTTTGACAAAAACATTAAAATCATACTTTTTCAGACACCCCAAACATTTGCCTGACTGACCATATTACGATTTATTCGATTAAGTGAACTTGAATTTTGGGCCTTTGTCGTATTTATGGCCACTCGTGAACCCCATTTGCATCACTGTGCGCTGCGACGTAGCAGACGCAGACACTACCCTCCCTCCTGCTGACACGATATGATGATTACTTTGGTGGAGAGACATGTCGAGACGAACTTTCTTCCTTTTTACCGATTATGTTATTTGATCTAGGAGTAGTTTTTTTTTTCATTTTTGATTCTGGGTTTTCTGCTGGTTGCGCCTTTGGTAGTTGGCGCGGGAGGCATATCGCCGGAATAGGCGAGAACGTATTCGGTGGAAATAAAACTGCCGCCGAATGGCCACTTGTGACCGACGGAATCGCTCTCCCTGGGACGTGTCTGCGTCGGTCGTCAACGGGGCGCGCTCAGTGGCTCCGTCTCAGGGCCGGGGTGCGGGGGAGAAAGGTCTGCGCAGTGACCCCGGCCCGCCGGCCGGAGACGGGTTGGGCCGGCCGGCGGTCACCGCCTGTAATTGACCTGACGCAGACGGAGCGTCGCCGGAGGCCCTGTCGTCCGAGCGGTGCCGGACACTCGCTCAGCGTCGGAGCTCGAGCGGCTGGTTGATAAAGGAGACGCGATTAGCTATGACGAGGCTTGTTAGCTGCGTGGCTTTTGAGACTAGGCAGGCTGTGCTGGACTGGGCTGTCTTGAGCAGGTTGTGTCCGCTTTTGCGCGATGTTTGTGCTGATGTTATACCATTTCTATCCCCTTTTGTTTATCCTGTATGACCCACACTTGTATACAATATACCACATTGTTTTTTCAGCTGTGTTAATTCTCAATTTCCCATACATGCAACATTGCACGTTTAAATCGAGAAAGCCAGGCATTAAAATAGCACGTGCATTATACTGCACTTTTGAAACATACGAGAAGTCAATGCTGATTGGTTTCCGAGACATGCAGGAAATAGAGGATTCTTCATGGCTCCGAGTGGAAGATAAGGATATCTTTTCCAAGCGGGTTACTGAAAAACCGAGCGACGAAGGAGCGAGGTTTTTCTGTAACACGCGAGGAAAAGATATCCGATCTTCCACGAGTGAGCCATGAGGAATCCTATATCTTTCTATGTTGAGGTTTATTCTTAATTATTAAATTATTATATTTGAATGCATTCATCTATGTAAAAATAGATTCACAGTAGTTTGTTCTTATTTCATAAGTTTCATCCATAAACAACCATTAAAAATGTCGTTCGGTTATTGACCCATCATCACTTGAACTCTTGATTTTTTGCTATGAACCCTCGAGACCTTATCTTTGCATCTCAGAGGGATGCAGATATAACAAATTCTTATCTTTGCATCCCAGAGGAGTGCGAGATAGAAATATCCCTGCACTGTAGACCCAATGGCGAATAAACCTCAACTAGAAAGATAATATGTTTTCCTGCACCTTTCGACGTTTTCCTGCACCCCTCGACGTTTTCCTGCACCTCTCAAATGTATGACGTCATTATGAATGACGTCACATCATAAAGTTGAAGGGCATCATTTTGCTCCTTATAACTTCATTTTATCTATCGTCCATTTTATTTATTTGGCTTATGATATACCTACCTACATTGTGTTTGATGCAAGGATTTTATTATTTGTCATGAATAAAGTGAAACATCACCATATAAAACTTAAACTTTGACGCTATTTCGCAACAAACCAAAGCCACGAAAGACTCAACAAGGTTGAAATTGGGGCGTTTTGGTTCCTCCAAAAAATTTGCAACGCTCCCATGCTACGCATGTATGGGAAATAGCTTCCTGCCCTCCTGCCCTGAGCTGGGAGAATTTAATGTTGTCACCTCGTATTTCAATCGAAAGTACCTCGGGCCTACCGGCCCTCGGTACTTTCAATTAAAAAACTCGGTGACACCATTAAATTTTCCCAGCCCCGGGCAGGAATGTATTATCCGACTTCCTTGTATCACCTGCAATCTCTGACGGCCGCCTTCTCTCGTGTGTTTCAGGAGCTGGTTAACGGCCTGGTCCTGGACAAACGGAAACGGGATGACGACGATGAGTCGCCCGAGCTGAAAAAGGTGAAGCTAGACCCCCGGCTTGCTTGTCTACTGCAGGTACTTGACTCTGCCGCCCCGCCTGGCTGACCCGATCGCGGCGCTTCTGGCTGCCAGGTTGGACTTGTTTGCTCTTCCGGCACTCGGCCGCTATTTTCAAACGGGATATTTCTTTTATCTGTTTGCTTTTCCCCTGAGGGTGGCTATTACCTTTCCGTTCTGTGGAGGTTATGTGGTGAAATTAGCCGGCAGAATGGCGATGCTGGCCGTTTGGGACCGTCGTTAGCCATCATTTGAGGCTCGACGACGGGGATGTACGGGCTCCCGATCACGAATCCTACCCACCCTATCCAGGGAACTGCGCTATTCCCGGCACTTTTTTTCGAACGATTTCTAGGGTGCTAATCTCTTGGTAAATTTGAAGTGTTTGTGCTAATCCAAAAAAAAAAAAAAACGCAGGGACCTTTGCGTCATTGTACACTGCTAGGGAAAAGTCCGATTGTTTCACCTCCGCGGTCCTGTCTGCGAGAAGCGCGTCGGTTCCATCTGCGATCAATGTGCCTTCGATAGGGTCTGCGGTGTAGTCGATAACAGTGCTTACTGCGAGCTGGGTTTGCGGCAAAAGACCCAATCTGGTAGCACACAGCACTTGTCCGAACTACATAGTTGAGCCGGCCTAAGCGCTTTCCTCATCTTGAGGGTAGTCGAGCACGAGTAGTAAGCACCGGCTGATGGTGCAAATTATGGTTTATATTACCCGTTGTCGCCACGGTGTTAGGCAACAATTATTTAACATTGGAATAAAAATAGGGTATTGATCTTCATAAGCCAACAATTTTTTTCTAGCAGCTATCTTTAAGTGTTATCTGCAAAGTAAATCAATGTACGCCAACTAAGGATCTCTTGTTGCCCGTATGCATGATGTCAATCATGTATCTGGCTGGCATGAACAGCTGTTGGCTCAAACAAAGGATATAATTGTGTCAACATTTCGTGCCGTCCCGGCGTGCGTTCTCTGGGGGCCCGGTCTGCAGGTCTGTGTGTTCAGAGTCGGCCTCATTTCCCGGTTGGCCACGCCTCGTGGAAGGGGCTATGGGACAGAACGGAAGAGGAACAGCAGGGTGGTCGGTATGGGAGCGTCTCTCCGCGGTGGGTCGGGGTGGGGGGGGGGGGGGGCGGAGGAGGGACAGTGAGGCAGTCCGTATGGGAGCGTCTCTCCGCGATGGGTCGGGAGCGGCGGAGCGGAGGCAATGCTCGGTGGTCGACCTTATTTACCGGTCTGTCGACGTTACCTGCCAAAGAGCGAGACTTGTGACACGGGGGTGCCGCTGCTAGGTTACCAGGCGTGCCGTGGCGCCGCAACATACTCTGGTAGCCGGTTAGGGTGGCCATTCTCCGCCAGTCTCCGGAGCCGCGTGACCTTGACCTCAGTGACTCGGGCGGCTGATACGGGCGGCCGGGATTCGATGTCATTCCGCGCCCATCCGGAGGTGACGGGCCGGATTTATGGAGGTCGGTTGGTATCGGCGGCCGCTGATCGGACCGCGGTGACTGACACGGCTTCAGAGAACACCGGAGCATCGTCCAGCCATACACCAGGGTGTGTGAGGACATCGCGCTGGCCCCAGCGAATGGCCCTTCACGCGGCTCCGGACCCGTATCGGTATTTTTGTCAATGATTGGAATTCGCTGGAGCCTGTGCTCGACAAGTTCACAAGGTTTGATTTGACATCGCTAGGACGAGGTGCTGCGCAAGTGATCCGTTAATGGACGAGGAGAATTACTGGTGCTGCTAATGCTGAAGCCAAAATATTTTTATTTTTATTATAAAGCTGTTATACCAAGCAATATTTCGTAAATAGCGTTCCAAAGCAATGCATTATTTGAATATTTTCCAGGCAAATTGCTCAGAAAGTTGCTTTTGTTTGATCCTGCCAAGTAAGCTGGTTTTTCTCGCAGTCGCTTAGTAGCTAAAACTGTACGGGAAGTTGTCGTTTATTGAGGAAGCCAAAATGCAGGGATATAATGAGCACAAGGGGCCTGTGCCTGTGGCGGGAGCCTTCATAAACACATCATAGTATTTAATATTGAATATTTTGGCTCGAAAGATGACACGATTCTATTTGTGCCAAATTCAGAGGAAGTTTCCGCCGTGGTGCTGGGGTGCGTAACGCCCTGGTCGGCAGCGCCGCGCTGGCTGCCGCCGCTGTCCTGTGTCCGTCTCTGGTGGCTCCTTCGGCGGCGTGCCCCGTCTTATCGCGGCGGGTATCGCGGCCGCTACGCACCACCCCGAAACTATCCGCCGGGTACGCACCACCCTGAAACTATCCGCCGGGTACGCACCACCCTGAAACTATCCGCCGGTCGCAGAGGCTGGCCGACTTGTGCGGACACTGCCATCGACATGTACAGTAGGTCTACTAAAAAAGTCCCCCGCTCCAGAGGCGGCCGGCCGGCCGAACCCCCGGATGCCAGCCCCGACTCTATTGCGCAGGCCGCGGCAGCGACACGGGTCAGGTCGCGGCGCCCGGCGAGTGGGTCAGTTGGCGGCGGCCGGCCGTGGAGTGAGGACGCCGTGTGTGGGGCGCAGAGATGCCGCAGTGCAGAGGAGGGGGAAGATAGTGACTCTGCACTATGCCGGAAATGATGCCTTTGTGATCTAAATTAAACACCTGCAGACGCAGTGCATATCCTCCCTCGCCCCATTCCTATTTTATCACAATCCTTCAATAATCCGTAATGACCATTCAACGCAAGCAAGCAAACAAAAGAACCCGTTTAGCGGCGACATCATATCGGATAAAAAAGCGACAGTGATGATTAAAATAGACTTAGCGCGAGGGCCAATCGAGGGGTATATACTATGATCACATACCGAGTATTTTATTCCCAACTAGCAAATCAAGACAGGGGATCTTGTCCAACAAGTCAGCGGCCGTTCTAGACACAGATAAATGCTTTGTTTTCGGTCGCATCATTATCTGCAATAATTCGAAGCGAGGTTTAAACCTCGCCGGCCGAGAAGAAAGGGTGAATGCCGCCACCATGTATTTTTTTTTTTGCGGTAGCTCAAAGCACACTGATGATAGAAGGCTGACATTTCATATGTCTTGCATTTGATTCAAGCCGGATCATTTGACATCAACCACGTTTTCAGGTCAGGTCACTTAACCATGGCGTCTTAAGTAAACCTCTGCACGGTTGTCGGTTATAAAATGATGCAAATCCGCAATGCACTTAGTGTCATATAAGCACAATGGGGAAATATGGAAACTGTTGATCTTGGCGTCGGAAATGAGCTAAAATTATACCTCAACTCTCAAGCACTTCAAATCGTGACTTCATACATTCTTGGCAAGGTCTAATGCTTCACTTTTGCATTGTTCACCTTGCGTGACGTCATTTATGACGTCACTAGGGTGATAGGAGTGCTTCGTCAATAACTCCCGATCAAAATGAGCTAGCCAGTCGGGACAGCCATCAATGGACTTTGCAAGACTTGCCGAATCAAATGTTATGCAACATGTCCTCCTTTCAACAGCTTCGTGACCTGTGTTGCCCTAGCATGACATTGACCTCAGGTAAACATCCTAAATTGCTTCACCTAAACAAAAAAGCATGTAAATCGACGCGTCTGAGAACAGAAAACAAGATTGTATCGAAAGGACGATAATGCGACAATTTTTGTGGTTATTTACCAAAAACCGATCGAATGCCTTGGGGCCCTTGACCTGCCCTAAGAGGTCACTGATATTTTAAAATGGGGTACCAGTCGCTGCGTCACGTAACGAAGCAAACGCTCGTTTTTTCCGCGAGGCTCTAGCAGCTAGCTCAATTATAGGAGCTAAACATGGGGTTGGGGGATCGCTCCCTTCTCACTCACTATTTGGCCGGGATAGTGGTTGCAATTATTGTTAACCCTCGCCCATGTAGGGGGGGGGGGGTTGGTGCAACCCCCCACCCCCTGAGGTTTTTCTTAGCTACACGCCGAACCGTTTCAGATAGCCTGCTCAAATTTTCAGTACCCTTTGGGGCATCCTTTGCGCAACTTTTGATAAAAATTTTTTTGTCAAGGTCATGTCAGGTCACGGAGTTATGACGTCATAAAGGGAACAACCTCCGGCCAGATTTACGCTAAATTGGAGATTGCTTCACATTGGTATAAATGCCGACTGACCTGACACACTGATGGATTGTTTTAGAATCACAACTGGCTGATTTGACATTGGCACAATGTCCGTTGATATTTTGAAGGTTACTAAAGGTCAAGGTAAGGTCAGTGACCTCGGTTGACCTGTAATGACTTCTTGCACTTGTATGCCTTTTCGGGGTATTTTGATGCCCTGAATTCGAATTTTCTATCCATTTCAGGCATCGTCGGTTGTTTCTTGTAGTTCATTTTGGGTCAGGGTCAGGTCAGTGACGTCACACGCCTGACGTGACCCAATGCACAAATGACCTTGCAGACTTCCGATGCTCCCAACGCATCATTTTTAAAGTTATGACATCGAAATATACACCAAACGATAGAGAATTGATCAAGGATCACGATAGTGAAGGTTTCAAGTCGATATCTCTTACCGTTTTGCCGCAATCGGCGCGGAAATCTGAAAAAGTTAGATTTTTCCGAAAATTTGACCTTTGACCGGTCATAAGTAGGTCAAATGTTGACCTAGGACCAAAAAATATACCACCAATCGCGAGATCTCGTTGAGAGCAATCCGTTGGTCTTTTCCGCTAAGCTCTACGACGCTCCGTTTTCAAACGCCAGGGGGGTCGCACCAACCCCCCCCCCCTGCATGGGCGAAGGTGGCAAAACACCGTTTACGGGCGAGGGTTAAAATCTAGCATTTTAAGATTTCAAATGACCCATTTTTCCCGCCCAAGTCTTTCAATTCAAGGTCATAACACCAGGTCACGTGAAGTGACCTTACCTAAAGGAAAGTTCCTGTGCTCATCAATCTAAATACACCGACTAACCGATCGCTTTAGAACTTTCAGCGATTTCAATGGGCAACACTATACCTATGTATTTGAAACGTTTACTTTGCACGTTTGAC